TGAGCGCTCGCTGGATGAGGGCTGCTTCCTGGAAACACGGTCCTTTTGAATGGGGCCCCAATTCGTGAGGTTCAAGTCGGGGCTCTTGTCCCATCGCCGCCACTCCCCACTTGGGTGACCTTGGCCCGCCTCTTGGCTTCTCGGAGCTTCAGTTGCCCCCGTTCTGTAAAACGGGCGTCGTCACAGTCCCTTCCTGGGCTGGGGGGCTTCCCGGGAGGATTAAAGCCACAGGGCCCCCAGCGCCAAGTCGGGGCTCAAAGGGGTCAGCAGTGGTTAGTCTGAATTCACACGGAGGGTCTTCTGCGTGTTGTGCTCGAGGTGGGAGAAGTCGGGTTGAGGGCCGCTCCTCCACCTCTGACAGGCTTACTCTGTAAGCTTGGACAAGTCGCTCGCTCCCTCTTTCCTGCTCCCCTTTCGTCCTACAATCGGGACTGTAGCAGTGTATGCCTCTTAGGGTCCTTGTGAGGTTAAATACATGGGGAACATTCTTTAATCAGTTCCTGCTACTTTTCTAGAGCTTCCTGAAGAACAGCTAGTTTTTTTAATATTAGGGGCCAAGAAACATGTGCCCATACTACATCCCTGCTGAGTGGTGTCCCCATGTTCTTTTGTTTCTCTCTGATTATTTGTTTTGTCTGCTTTTCCTCTCCCTAGACCTGTGAATTGTCCTCTCAGGGGACGCTGGGCCATGTCTGGGGACATCTGTGGCTGTCACAGCTGAGGGGCTCCTGGCATCCAGTGGATAGGGCAAGGAGACTGCTCCACACCCCACAATGCCCAAGATGCCCCCACAGAGAACGGTCCAGCCCCAAACGTTCATAGTGCCCAAGTTCAATACTACCCTGGACTAGTGATTCTTCAGCCATGGGCTCCACAGGCGGCAGGGCGTGTGAACTGCCAGGAAATCAAGTGCCAAGTTTTGTGTGGGTGCCTACTTCTGTGGGGTGAGAGGGCACTTTGGAGTTGAGGCTCTGGAATCAGCTGCAGGTTCAAGGCTACTGATTTGCATCTTCGCCAGCTGGCCTGGAGTGGTGCCCCCCATCTCTTTGAGTCTCAGTTTCTTGTTCTGTAGAATGGGACCGTAAGCCCGGGGGCCAAATCCCACTGCAGCCTGTTTCTGTGAATGAGGTTGCGTGGGAACACAGACCACCCAATCCCATACATGTCACCTGTGGCCTGGGAAGCTGGATGTCCTCCCTCAGATCCTTTCCAGAAAATGTTTGCTGACCTGTGAAATAAGCTGTTGTGTGTCTAACACTCAGCTCAGGGCCTGGAGAGTCCTGGGCACTCTGAGGATTTCCTGAGGTTTATAGTTCAGTCTTCCTGGAAGGGCAAGTGGCTCTAAGTGAGGTTAAGCTCTGCCTGGGATTGAAAGATGTAGTCTTACTTGTTTCTGCATTTTTTTTTTTTATGGTTGAGACCCCACGCTGGACCCAGCGGCCCCTGCTTAGTGAGGGGGATAGCATACAGGGAACAGAGGGGAGGTAGGCAAGTCACAAGGTTTGTTATCTCCTCTGCTAAAGAGAAAACTGAGACCCAAGCGAAATGCACCCCCCCCCAGGAACTCGGTCATGTGGCTTTGAACTCGACCAGGACCCAAGGTTTTCCTGAATGCATAGGGACCGCTGAGTGCTGGGGTCCCAGCAGGAGGAGATTTGTCCAACATCTCATGGTCCGGGGGGGCAGGGGTGAGCAGGCCAGGAGAGAGTTGGGAAGCCTCGTAAGAGAGGCTGAACCAAAAGCAAGACTGGGACGTGGGCTTTGCTGGAAGAAGAGGCCGTCCTTGGGAGGAGGATATAGCTCAGTAGTGGAATGCGTGCTTAGCATGCATGAGGTTGTGAGTTCAAACCCCAGTATTGCCATTAAAAACAACAAATAAATAAATAGCCTAATTGCCCCCCCAAAAAGAGGCCTCCCACCGTCTGGGGAGATGACCTTCTAGCTTGGTGCTGAGGAGGAGGAGGTGTTTCCCAGACGGTGGGAGCAGTTGTGTTGAGCGGAACCAGCGGGTTTGGGAGGGGCCTCGTGTGCCCAGGGTCTGTGGGGGTGACGGCCTGCCAGCATCTGAGAAGGAAGCACGGCTGTGCTATGGGGAGCGGGCTGAAGCCGAGTTCTTGCTCTTGGGGCAGTGTTTGTCCGGGACCTGTGGTATCCTGGAAGGGGAGAGAGGACTAGCTTGCACACCTGCGTGCTTGTGAGGAGAGCTGGAATTGGGGTGGCGGCGGGGTGGGGCATCCTGCAGGGGTGGGAGCCCTTCAGAGCAAGGGTGCTCCTACCTGGAGGCCGGGTCACTCATGTTGGTGAGACCTGCTGTTTTTCCTTTGAATGGTCGGTTGTGCGCAGGGAAGTAAAAGGGATCGCGGTTGGGAGGTTTTAATGAGATGATGAAAGGTGGGCTGAGAGCCGGCAGGGGTCCCACAGGCACAGAGAGGCACTGGCACGGGGACCCGCGGCTGGCGTTTGTCCCCGGCCGGGCTTGCGCCTGCAGACCCGCACCTCGGGTCTGAGCCTCACAGGGCCCTCGCTGTTCGCGGGAAGCCTGGGCCCTCCGAGGGTTCTGTCCAGCAGCCAAAGCCTGACAAGTCAGGACTGTTCCCAAGACCCCAGAGCCCAGTGGCCATCGGGAAAAAGCAGGTCCTCGTGTTGGGCTGGGCCGGCAAAGTGAGGAGTAGGCAGGCCGGGGATGAAGGGCCTCCAGCGGTTTTGTGCAGGTGCTGGGTCCTCATCGTGGACCCACGGTCCCTGACCTGCAGTTCT